AGCTAATTTAATATCGACGTGAAAAAAGTTTATATTATGTATTATATGCGCCCGTTTTTCAGGTTACTGGCTCCAAGGAATTGGGTGCTCCCATCAGTGCGGTATGTAGTTGCTGACCAACCTTATGGCTGTTCGGTTCATTTCTCTAGCAGTTGTTTATAGGGAACGGTTAGCCAGTGGAGCGACCTACTTATGAACGTGAAGTATCTCTCTTACGAAGATATTCCACTGGTACCATTATTCTTTCCTTCCGTTTATTACGTTCACGGTTCAGCTCGTTGCTAGGAATTCAAAGCGTATCTTCGCAGCATATTCGATGACGCGGCGATCATTTCGAATTCGTTGACGATTCAGCCGATTCTCGGCAGCGCCACCAATGGCTCTTCGTCGATCATCGCCGTCTTGTGTATTTTGCATTCGAACTCCCTGTCATGGTAAGTTTCATGTCAGGCTTCACGTGACGTCGTCGAAAAATGTTCTTTGTTTCATAGCCGTTTATTTTCTACTTTCTACTGTCCCGTTGTTTGTTGCAGTTCAAGTTCCACGCGCTCAAAAAGCTTCGATGATCTCCTGAACTTGTGCAATGACACGGCGACGTCCGTCATTCGAATCTGTTACTCGTTCGAGAAGCAGCGGTCGTTGACGAAGTTGAACGGATTTATCTTGACGCTGTTAAGGAACGTTTTTTCGAACCTCGGTAACAAAAACCAATGCTTGTTTATTTTTTATTTCAAGCAAAATTTATAAACACGTTTCTTGCAACATTTAGAAAACATGACTCAACTGGTGCAGAGCATCGTGAAAGATGCAAAGAAGCTTATTCCTTCGGAAAGGTGCTTATACGTTGCTTTCTCTTCATTTGCTGTATTGTTATTTTGACAATTACGATTTAATCACCTTATAAGATTATTCACTTCAGAATATGAACAGATGTTCCAGACATCGTTTCTCGACGTACTCGTTAACGCCATGCTGATGGTTTAGTCTCCTTTATAGCACTGACGGAGCCACTACTGTGTAACCTTTGCCATAATACTTTTGCTTGTCGAAAGAGTTTTAGATCTTGGGTTTTTAATTCATCAACGGACAGATTTTTGATGCAGGGTTAGGGTTAACCAGTCGTTTAAAACACATGAAAAAATTTTAATAAACGTTTGACGCATTTCGCTGCCAACACCGGTTAAATCATCATCGCTGAATCGTTTTTTTTGTATTTTTGAGTACCGTAACTAAGTATCAAGAAAATGGTTTCGCTGTTACGGCGAAATCTTGGAAATGTTAAACTTTTTAAGGGCTCGAGAAAAAATTGTAATTAATGGTTCGAGAAATTCGAGAAATGTATGAATAAAAGCACAGAAATATGATCTTCAAGAACAGACGTGCTTTAGCTGAGAATGTAATGTTGATTCCACTTTTCGTTGATTTGGGGTCCATAGTTATATTGGAGGAACGTCATCGTCGTGCAGTACTTATGGAAACCTCATAGCAGTTTATGTTGAGAAAGGAATATCTTTTCACAGAATCCACCTGGACCTTGCCTCTGTCAGATCACTGTTATTGTACGGCCGAAAGATGGTTGCACAGCTGACGAATAGCGATGGCTTAACTGCGTACTGCTGCATTGCCTTTGATTGATAATAAGAGTGAAATATCACTGCCATTTAAGGAATGACTCCACTCTCATCTGGGCATAGTAACCTGAGTAGATGTGAAGATTAAGAAAGGAAGAGGTTTGTCCTGTTAACCTGTTGACAAACTATTTGAACATAAGACATAAACCGTACTCCAGCCCAGATTAGTTTTTAGTGTGGCTGAGAGAATACGGCGGTCATTCACTAGGGGACTTGCATGCAACACAGAGAAACACGGTAGAATAAGATCTGTTTTCCGAAAGGAATATTTCCTTCTGCCATGCAGTATTCAATACCGCATTGCAAAAGTATGTAAAAGTTGCTAATACGGTGGATATCATCAGCCAGAGACGTTCTGCTTATACAAACGGGATGTTTTCGTTATATGGATCAAGGTGACGATTACACACACAACACACACACACCATTCACTTGCCATTAGATTTGTTTTCAACGTTGAACGCAACTTTTACTTATACGAATAGCCATGATGGAAATCGTGGCCTTATCGCTGTTATCAGCAATGTATTTAAAACCTGCTGGTACCGCTTTTTAAAGCCTCGAATTATCCATTGTATTCCTTATAATCTTGGTTATTTACCCTACTTTTTGCCAAATATTGGGCATTTTCCGAAAGTAACAGCCGTATTAATACATTTACCAGATTTACCCGCTTAAGTTCAGGACCATGCTACATATGCGCTGCATGCATATTGTATAAAAATTATATTATGTTTCTGTGTTCTCTTGTATAAGAAACGATATCTACAGTAATGTTTGTTCAATGATGCTTTAAACAAAGAAGAGTGGACCTGAATTCTGCTCTGGAATGATGCGAGATATCGGTAATGTGTACAGTGTACAACTGAGCTCAGGCGTAGGTCAGCATACACTACGTCAGACGGAAGCTAGTTCAACGTCCCGTTACTACTTCCATCTGTTGCTGTTGTGCACTACATAAATCCGTTTTGGTTTATAATTTACTCATTAGTCATGGTTTATCAGTGAATCATCATCAATCAGTTATCAGTGTTTTAAAGTTTCTTTTATTGACTTATCATTTATCAAGATTTTTGAATTATCTCGGTACTTTAGTATGGAATTTGTTTATTCGGTCTTAAGGTTAAAGCAGAATTCGAATTATACCAAACTTGTATATTTACGGGGCTTTATTTTATCATGAAGTGCATGCATACGGCTTTAAGCGACTGCAATAATGACTTTCTGATCAAAGCTGAAGTGCTGCTTTTTCGCCATTTCCTTAAAATCGTGTAACATGCATTAAGCTGATGTTGCAGTTAATCGCCCCAAATTTGGTTCCTCTCCAATGTTCGATTGTAATTCCCAAATTTTGGCATATTATGTCACGGACATCTTGGGGGATTCGATGGTTGTTAATGCGTGTCTCTGTAGAGGCGACATCACAGGAGACCGCTTGTACAAACTGCCTGCGCATCGGTCCAGAGTAAGCATTTCAGAAATTCGTCATACGAACTACGTGTATGACCGGCGACAGTATTTTGTGTATATGCGCAGGCTGGGTTTAAGTGAGGATAGCTGAACTCACAAGAGTTAGCCTGATCTAGCAGTATTTAATATTTCAGGTATGTTGTGGAATCACCTCTTACATGTCACGCATCGTTAATCTAGAACAAGCGGAGCTATTATGCCTACCGTCCCAGAAGATTAAAAACCGCGTCAATAATGCATATCTGTTAGCGTCGTCCTGCTGAACAAGCATGTATTCAGCAGCTACAACGTACCGTACGACTCTGAAGGTTTTGAGCTCTGACTGTGACGTTAGTGTCGCATGGTGGGGGGGGTGGTAGATTAACTTTGTGTTAGAGAAAGAATGATAACGTTGCACCAATCATTTAAACACTGTCTGGATTCAGATTCATCGGTGGAAACTTTATGCACTTATGACGACCGCTAGCATCCATTTAGTATAAAAAATTGACTTTTTGGCAATTGATTATTTTTCGAAAGTGTCCGTCATATGAGTAATTGTCTCTTCCTCTCTTCTCATAAAACTTGTTCTGGATAACACAATATGCACTAACGATCCTTTTTATCGTTTCGTCCAGGTGACCTTGAAGTGAACCGAAGTAGTCGCTTCTAGTCATTCAAGTCGCGGTGTTTGTATAGGCTACAGATGCTTATTAAAGAACAATTAACAATTGTTTCTTTCTGGATTTCTTAGTGAGATTCAAGCCTAAAAGCATTAAAATCATAAATATACCAGTTGAGATCTTCTGTAAGTCTATTACTCACTTTAAGTCGAGGTACTTCGGTATACATGAAGCGGTTTTCTGTCTACCATATTAGCTATGCCCTGGCGATGGTGCAACGTGCGTAGCGAACGCATTGTCGGTAAAGTGTTAGCGTCTACGTTGTTTGTGCTGTCAACCATGAATCTGCAACTGAACTGAAAAATTTCAATACGTTTTAATAAGTTTCAGCAACGGGTCCAGAAGCAGAAAAGTTGTCATATTCGCATTAATTCTGTTTTTTTTCTGAGTAAATGAGCTTCGAAGATTAGATTATATCCGTTAATTTTATTTCTTGAATACGGGAATCATAACGAGTATCTATTTGTCAGCGAATAAATCAATTGTAGATATACAAAGAGCGAGAAAACGACTACATTTCGGGAGAGCGACACGCGAGCACGGGGCGAGTGCAGCATGATTTTTTGCAATCTTATACAAGGAATTAAACACGAGACATTTAACATTTACTCAAACCGATTAAAATAGAGCAGAAACGCTAGAAAAACGATTCATCCCTAACTAGATGTCTAAAAAATATGGTAAAATCCACCATTCTCTCTATTAAATCCTTCAGTAGATTCAGTTAAGTCTCTGTATTCAGGATATCCTTCTCATGAAGTCAGTTTACCACGGCAGCTTGTTGTTGTTTTGTCAGCTGATCCAAGCTTGCGGACTTTCCAGAAATATTTGCTTTGTGAAGAGAATTGTCTTAGTGTCTTAATGATGATGCTTTTGTATTTATATGAAGTTTTTCTTGTTATGTGAATAAAGGTTGTGGTTTGCTTTTTTATCAGCCGTTAATTAATTTTCCTTTCAGCTGCTCTCTTTACCTGTTGGATCATGACAACAATGAACTAGTAGCGGAAGTGGTGGAAAGCGACGAGAATCAGCACGAGGTGCTAAAGGAGATTCGTTTTCCGCTTGGCCAAGGCATCGCCGGTCAGGTCGCCGTCTCTGGTTGGTTTATGGACTGTTTTTTGTATACAGTTAAACCATTGCTTTCTTAGGAAATATGATTAACGTAAAGCACTACGTCCCTGAATCTCGCATCGTGATTACCGAAGAAAAACTTTCTCTCAGTTGTGCAAGGTACCTGGTCTCGGTGTATTCTGCTTAGTCCGTTCAACTGACACCTCGCCTTTCGCTTTCAGGAATGTGCTGTGTTTTGCCGTCAAAGACAAAACCGGTAGATGGCTGACGTTCGCATTTTTTTAACATCATTGGTTTTTTTGTCTTGTTGTTTCAGCTGTCATTGCCGTCATTCAGCTTGTAAATAAAATAGATACCCAGTTTTACACCGATCACGATGAGCACTTGGCCGAGCTGCTGTCGTCGTATTGCGCGATCAGCATTTCTCACGTACGTTCGTCCTTGCCTTTGGCGGTCTGTCGTTCATCTGTCTGATCGACTGTTTTGTTTCGATTAGTGCCTGCTGTTTAAACGTCTTCACGAGGCGCATTGTCGCAGTCATCTGGCCAGTGAACTTATGATGTACCATACGCAGAAGGTAGTTCTTCAGCTATTGTCGTGCAGCAGTGCAATGTTTTAAACTATATACTGTAAAACCAGAAAGTGCCACTTCAGTGGTTCTAGACACAAGCAGACACATAGCTGATTATCCTTACTGTAGCTGCTGACGTTTCTGCCAGTCTCTACTAGCCATGTTCACTGCAAACAATGTTTCTACTGGGGGATTGCTCGCCATGAAGAGGACCAATGTGGTGTCGCTGCGAAGTCGGCAGTTACATCAAAAACTAACATCTGTTTACTTTCTTGAAGAAGAGGACATAATTGAGCGGAATTTCAGAAATCATAGATAATGTTTTATAAATTTAAGCGGTTGTTAACCAGTTTTTAAGCGACCACTTATTTATTTATTCGCGTTTTAAACCTTGGTCTTCATGTTTTCTACTTGACTGTTGAGCGTATAGATTTTAGGAATGCCACAGAATCCTGTTTTCAACTACCGACTAGTCTCTTTTCTACTGAGCGACCGAATTTTCCATAGAAACTGAAGAAAATGGTAAATATTTTTTGGACGTTTTACTCACATGGACGAGAAGACTTAGAAAACAGAAGTCATCTGCAAACCCATTCCATGTGAAGTAAAGGAAGGCTGTTGTTAATAGAATAAGTTTTGGCGAAAACGGAATTTGCATGGAACTGAACGACAACAGAAAAAGTCTGAATATAGGGCTTACCTGTAACCCTCCGTATATTCGTAGAATCATTCTTCAATCAACTCACATAGTTAGTATCCCGACGGTCTCGGATAGGTTTGAGTGAATTAACCAAAAAGGTAATTCTGCCTTATTTACGTAATTGAACAAGGGATTACGATGAATTGCTTCACCAGTAGGCATGAAGATCGTGTTCAAGTTTGGAAAGAAAAGGGAAGGAATGGAAAGTTTATATACTTACGAATTCGATCGTCTCTATGCTGTTATTATGCGGGTCATTTCTGTTGTCCTTCTTTTCATCATGTAATAACATCAGATGAGCAGTGGTCGTCATTTCCATGCAGTAAATCAGGAAAGATTTATTTTTAAGACAGAATCGATAGCAACTATGTTGAAGCATAGTCTGTAAGTGCATATTTCCTTCCCATAGGGCGGTACTCATTTATCAACCTTCAAAGGAAGAAAGGAGAGTGATCCGCCCTGAACTTGTCGGTTCTGAGTCGAACGATCTACCTGTTGAGCAGGAACTGTAGTGCGAGAACCACTAATTAATCTGTTAAATATCAAGTATGGTGAAGTCTGCATAAGATAAATACACGATATCGTCGAACAAAGAAGCGAATAAACACTAAAATATTTGCAAGAGGGAAAACAACGCAGAGTCAAGGGATAAATGCTGTGTTCAACAAGGGCAAGGTAGAAGGCAAGCAAAAGTTCTTCAGTTCTTCAAGGCAGAATGCGAAAACAACTCTGCCGTGGTGCGATGATGTGTGACACGAAACACGAAATAAATTGGCGGCACACCGTCAGGATTTGTTCTGGAAAGAACTTTGAATTCATAATAATAGAAGTTTAGTGATTGCCCTGTTCATCCTGGCCAAAAGATAATTCAGCGAGGATAATGATATGGCATTATTTAGCTGTCAGCTGTTTATAACAAACCACCCTCGTTACCCTTGGTTTAAAATTTGACTACGTGGACCTGATTTTTTTCCGTATTGTTTTCACTCTGCTATTTGGCAGCGAGCTAAGTAGAACTCGAAAATCCCATAAGAAACGTGAAGACCAAGTGTAGAATGTCCCTCACTCATTTTCATCATTCTTCAGATGTTAAGTTAATCTTCGATTTTATGATGATTTAGTCAACTATCAGCTAGAGTTCAAAATGCACAAGGTCAGCATAACTATGAACCTTGAAACCTTTAGCATTACTGTTACTATGCTGCCTCGTTTTTTTTGACTTGGATGATTTTTTTTTGCTGAAAGCATTTAGGTCGCGCTTGATCTCGAACCCGGATCTCTAAAATATATAATTGAATTGCGTTCCTGTACGCTTTTCCTCGCCTTGCTGTACGCTCTTTCTACACGATGACGAGAAATAATCGTCCACTTCGGATGATATGCCTAGTGAAGCTCGCTGTTTGTAACCATGAGCAAACAAAAACAGAAATTTTGAAATTGCTCTTCTCTGGTCTTATGCCTTCAGCAGCATCGACGGGGAAAGGTGATGGCAGTCCAAATCGCGGTCAAACATACCTGTATTCCCCGTCACCACTCAACTTCAACGGCCAGCGTCATGCGTACACCAACCCTTTATTCTTGCCTTTCAGTGACAAGTTATGATACTGTAATGCATTCCGTGAGTACTTAAACAATTGAAACTGTTAACTAACTCCTGAGCGAGTATTTTATTTCTCAATGTTACTGTTATCGTTAGTATGCAAATTCATGTTGGCTTTATTTTATCGTCGTTATAGATCGCGGAAGAGGACGTTCTTCGCCTGAGTCTCTGCAACATACCGGAACCGTCGTCGATTAAACCGGACTTTCTATCGTTCTCGTTCTCTCCTCGTTGTCTGTCGCTGCACGAGACACATATTGTAATTTTTTCCCTTTTACGTGCTTCCTGTCGTTACGTACGGTGAGCATTTTCGATCTTCAGGCTTGTTTGACGATTTTCGACGATTTGGGCTTCATTCAAAAGTTTCGCATCAAGAGGAAAAAGCTGTCCAGGTAAATATATGCATGTCGGCAGGGTCATTTTTTAGCTTGATTCCGTATTTCACTGAAAGGAAGGTAAGGATTGGAGCGGAGATGAGAGGGAACTTTATGATGATTAGAAAGTCGCTATGCTTGCACTTCCTTGATGTATACCGTAGCACTGGTTTCACATAGATTAGGATGCACATTTTTCTGATCACACTTTTGACTGCACCAAATCAGTTAGTCGGTGCGCAGTCTCTAGTATCACCTGTTTGATTTAACCAAACACGTTACATATCAACAAGAAGCTTTCGCAAGACTTGAATTCCGATGAAATTTGCATTCTTATTTTGATTCCAATTTGATGACTGTCTTGGCCGATCTGTCAAACCTGTGCAAGTTACGGATGTCGGTCTCTACCCTCTTGTAAATTATTAATTTGATCATTACATACAGTAACCGTAATGGAAACATAAAGTAAATGCTAAATTAGCAGAATTCACAAGTATGACAAGAGCTTCTTATTGTACTCAGAGATTCTTTTTGTCAAATCTAAAGATGGGATGAATCCAATAGTTGGTACAAACAGACTCCTGCCAATTGTATAAATTTACGTTCGCTCCCACGTAATTACGCCCTGACTTAATGTGACCAAAGTGTATGCAATCATAAAATAAGGGAAAGAGTTTTCGGAATTCCCAAGTTTGACAGAACCTTTATATTGTTGTCACGGAGAGCTTTCCGCAGATATATAAATGGTCGCATAACGCAAATAATCGATACAAACGATCGTCTGCTCGTTAAATAGATGCTAACTTGCGGCTGCAGGACTGGGCCAAAGTGTCATAGACCGCCGTCGAAGTAGCATGGCAAGAAGTGACTTTGTTTGCATCCCAGATCGAACATTTTCTGCTGATCAGCATGAAGATGAATAAAAATCTTGAATCAGAAACTCTCTAGAAAAGGGAGACTCACCCACCTTGCCATGAGGACGGATTCTCACTATTCATATTCGTTGGTCGTAAATTCGTTTGTCATTTTCCCTTCCTCGTTTCTCCCCTTCGAAATGTACTGCTGCATTTTTTATGTTAGGTTTCTGTTGCTCGTGGAGCACGGCTACCGCGATGTTCCGTACCACAACTGGTACCACGCTTTCACGGTCACTCATTTCTGTTACCTGCTGCAAAAGAAGCTCGGTATCATGAACATCTATCTCAGGTATGAGCTGTCGGTTGTGCTTGCCTTTTTACCGACTGTCTCGACTTGTCCTTGTAGTTTTTGTATTTTTTTATCAGCTGATAATTTTTAGTGATGTGCAGCGTGTGTCGTTGTTGGTCGCCTGTTTGTGTCACGACATCGATCATCGCGGTACCAATAATTCTTTTCAACTGCAATCGGTATGTTGCTTTGATTTTACTATGCAATATGTAGTATCTAAGATACTACTTAAATATACTCGACATATAACATATTCATAATTATGCCATATATTGCATGTTAGAATATATCGTGTGCTATATATACAGAATATGCACAGACTGCTGAACTCAAATCACTTCATTGTTTTCAAATAAGCAGTATCCGTATACTTTGTATATTATATAAAAATACACTATTTTTGGCTTAAGGATACTGCATACTACATGATGCATATAGCACCTTACGAAGTAGCAGTTTCTACGTAGCTTTATATCCTGCGTAAAGTGTATAGG